AGCCAAAATGTTTATACCATAGAAAGCATTGATGAAAAATTGGGTCAAAAATATTATGATGTTGAAGGTAACGATAGAGCATATTTACGCTTTGAGTTGTTGAAAGTTTAGTTTTTCTGTTGATAAAAAATTTTCTTAAGAAAACACTTAAAAAATGGCGCCGTGAAAGAATGTGATTGTGCTTGTATGTTCACAATCACGATATTGATACAAATATGGATAGGAGGAAACACAACACTATTATCAAAGGGTCGAATGACCCAAAAAAACAAGTGATGAAGAATGAAGTTGTCCAGTATGTGTAGCTCAGTGTTGTAGACGACGGAGAGCGAACAAGAATGTTTTCGCGATGGTCGTTGAACAGATCGGCGGCTGTCCTCTACGTGCGGATTGGTAGTCCCTGTAACTCTGCTTATGGAATTGGCGATCTCCGAAACTGTGTATTGCTCGATGTAATGTTAGATGTAGGGGGACTGACCATTCCCTTGAGCTGCTCTTTGAGAAGCCTTTTGCTTCGCCCAGACATCAGGGTATATGATGCTATGGCACACATCGTCAATTGAAACATGACGCTTGTCTGACATCTGCCTCGTCTGAGAAGCCCGTCCCTTTTTAGGGCGGTGGCTGGATGGTTCCATCCACCAATGTCGCGACTGGGCTATAGTTCTGGTCAAGGAAGACAACTCGTTGGTGAAGCTGCTTTTTGACCTCAGGGAATTTGGTCAAGGAAGACAACTCGTTGGTGAAGCTGCTTTTTGACCTCAGGGAATGTAAACATGCTGACAAGCTGTTGAGCAACTTCTCTTAACTTCTCTTGAGCCAACACCCTAGCCTGCAAGTAGCACACTGCCATTGCGATTGCGATGGCCTGTGGAGGCTGCTTACCTCCACACACGAAGCCCGTGTGATCCAACTCTGGATAATGGATGTCCTTAGTGCAGGCTTCGGCAAGTTCAATTTTCAAGAGACGGGAGTGGAGCACTGGAACCCGACATGCTTTTAATAGAGGCAACTGAGTCAGCAGCAGATGACAGGTGATGTATAAGATCATCCAGCTCAGTGGCGACGTGAATCTGCTTGGCGGTCACGTTGGTCTGATTCACGATGCAGTTGAACAGCGTCCGTCCTTGTAATGTTAGTCTGGGTCCTTGTCCCTTCGTCTTCTGCATCAATTGTGCTTTGAAGGTCCTGTAGCCTTTCGACAGTGTTGATTTGGGATAGAGGTTAATGAGGCCGGTTTCAATCAAGAAGCGATTGCAAAGAATTGCGGAGAACCGCGACTTGGTGCTCAGCCTTGGCTCAGATCGTTTATGTGCACATTGGCCACATAAGCCCCCCCCCCAAAAAAAAAACAATAAATCATGTATAAACACATTGCCAGACCCATTATGCTTGTGCAAAACACAGAACAGCTCCGTTTCCAGCCGCAACTTGTCCTGCTCCAAGTGCACCTGATGAGCGCGTGCTTCACGAGCTTCTGCCTGCGCCTTTGCTTCACGAGCATCTGCCTGCGCCTTTGCTTCACGAGCTTCTGCCTGCGCCTTTGCTTCACGAGCATCTGCCTGCGCCTTTGCTTCACGAGCATCCGCCTGCGCCTGCGCCTTTGCTTCACGGGTTTGAACGACGAAGTCGACCAACTTGATGATGGCTTGATCGTCAGCACTCTCACCCAGGATTTTTCTGGCCTCCTCACTAGGGGTCATCTGTGCCCTACGAGCCACTCTGAACGATGGCGGCTTCAGGCTGAAGGCCAGCCAGGTGCATACAAGGATCATGGCTCGCATGTTGGTCAGGCACTACTTCCAAAAAATCACAAAGTCCGCTGCCTGTCACAATCATGCTTCATCACCATTGTTCAAGCGTTTCCTTTTCAAGGGACCATGGAAGTCTGCAAACGGCCACGACTGGGCAGGGGTTTGCTCAAGAGTTTGCTGCCGGATTGCTTCAAGAAACTTCGAACGACACCCATTACCCATCTCTAGAAATTCCTTGAGGACTCCAATCTATACATACCCCCATTCCCAACAAGCTGAAAAAAAAAACCTACACCTGCCGTTGTCTTTCCCCTCCGCGATTCAGTCCTTGTCGCTCTTGGTGCGATGTTATGCTGGGGTCGGAGGCGAGATCTTAAGGTAGATTTCTATCCTAGGGTTGGGGCTGGGTGGTGCCACACACCTAAATAGGCAAGGTTGAGATACATGTTGATGACAAACCAGAACAAACAAACTAGTTATCCTATACAGTAATACTATGATGCAAGTATAAGCAGTTATATAATATAATTCATTGTAGTTAAAACATTCTTGGAGAATCCGAGAAAATTAAGCAAATGCTTAACACTTAACCCTAAACCCTGAACCAAATTCTACAAGAAACCCCTTGCCCCTTTTGAGTAATAATGCCACCTTAGAGAAAATAGATGGGGTAATGGTTATTCCTAGAATTGTATTGATAATGGGGAAGTAGTAGTGATATTTCGGTGAAGCCTAGGGGGGGACCCTAGGAATAATAATCTAATTGGTTGACGGTGGCATTATTACCCAAACTGGGCGAAGGGGGTCCTAACTTTTTCTCCGCGCGAGGTCCCAAACGTCAATCCAGGCAGCTGGTTTGGACTAGGAGCTCGAAGAAAGTGAAAAGGAACTTTGGATGTCGCCCAGTCAAGCTGGCTGTTAGGGCCTTTTGCATTGGAACGCGATAGAAATCGGCAACAGCGAAACAGGATGGCTTACAGTCGCACCCTGCATGCAACACTAAAACCGCAGAAGTAGAACCCGACTTCCCTGCTTGCGGGAACAAAGCCTGGACTAAACATCAATGGCCCTTGGGCGTGCATCTCAGCTACTACCAGAATCAGGAGCTTACGGCTTGCTGCCCTTCTTTCCGCGGTTGTCCTGCAAAAAGGGAGTAACAGTACTCAGTACTAACTGTTCAGATATTAGTGCCGGGAGCTGGCAGCTGCGGTACGGGATCGGCACATCCATGTTGAGAGCCGTATTGGGGCTGCGCCTGGGTTTAGGAGGTAGGGGCGAATGCTATGAATTGAACAAGCTAGCCCATATTTAAAATATCTGAGTGTCTAGCAGCCGCTACAGTTCGCAAGCGGACCGGCGTACCAGAAAAAAGCCCTGAAATCATGCATGGAGATAGATTCACGCCAGGTCCTTTCGGCGAACCTCTTGAGAGGCTTGCGACCGTGGGAAAGATGTCTTCTTGCTCTGCGTTTTGAAGAAAGCTTTCTCCTGCCAAGTTGATACCGTAGCGCACAGCAACCAAAAATGGGGATCACCAAGCAAGCACCAAAAACACACATAGAAGTACAGTGCGTTGTGAGGACTTCAGAGCATTCATAGCGCTGGTGAGAATCTTATAGGGCTTCTGAGGTGTAACCGTGTAACTGACGCTATGGTGTTTCAGAGGGGCGCTGCATCGTTTTACATGGGTGTCGATGGCTTCATGTAGCAACAGATGTAAGACTTGATCAAAGCTTTCTGTGATCTTCTAAGGGCCTTAACGCACTTTACAGGCTTGGAATATAGGAGCTGAATTCATATCTAGCATAGAGTCATTGGGTATATCATAATATTGTTATTCCTTGAGCAACCTTGAGGAGTATTGCTGGTAAGTATCCGACTCCTATACTACATGTACTTGGTAGTTCTCTACATTAGACTCCCTTTTTTGGTCTCCCAAACAGTACGGCAGCTTATACAAAGGACCCTAAAAGGGATCCTAATTTAAAGAACTACTCAACCCTAAATCTTAAACCCTAAACCATAACCATAATAAACCCTAAACCTTAAACCCTAAACCTTAAACCCTAAACCCGAACCCCAAACCCTAAACCCCTCACTGTCTCCGGGATCTTACATGGTGAGGTCCTGCTCAAGGAGCTCCTCGAAACTCAACTCGGGCTCGTCCTCCATCTCCTCCGACAGGCAAAGCTTCCCGAGCTGCTGGGTTTTATAAGGGGGGGGGAAGGCTTATAGTGTGCCTCTTAAGGGTTTTATGGGCTTCTGGTATATCGTGATAGTCTTGGGCTTTTACAGGGGCTTATTGGGTTTTGATTGTGGCTTGCCCATGACCTTACAAGACTTCCTATCCCCCGACACGAGAAGCGCTTAAAGCCAGGCTTTCGGCCATTTTGGGCCTCGTCTTCTTCTTGAGGCTCGCCGCACCTGGGCATCATGATTGGGTTGGGTGGAGTTCCGCAAAGCTCGAGATCAGAGAAACCGGCTCCGGAACGCCGAAGTGCTCGACGAGAGAGGCACCTGTGGCGTAGACATGATTTGAGAGATCAGAAACGCGCGAGGGCTTCACTGACTTGATAAATTGCTTGCGGGGCTTTGTACCAAAAACGACGCAAAGATGGCTGCAACTTTAGCGCTTGAAGTGGGCCGACAGCCACAACTGCGGTACAACTTGGGGCAGTGGAAGTGTCGGCGTGGGCGCACAGGCGGCTATTCCAGCAGCTGACATACTCTCAAGGCCACTGTTGCCTTGAAGCGTGCTAATGCTGTGATTTCTGCGGTGCTTCCCGGGTTTACAAGATGAACATGCAGATCATCATTCCTGGTGTCAGTCGTATGATTAGCTACACCGGCAATGCAAGGAGGCTTCTAAGCCTTGTTCTTGATACGAAGGACACAGCGCTGGTGCAACTACTGGTCCTACTAGTTCTGAACATCCCGACCCTAAACCCTAAACCCTAAACCCTGAACCCTAAACCCTAGACCCTAAACACCTAACAAGTGGAACACTACAGCTGATAACAGTCTTCACGAGCCACGAGCCCCCTGAAACCTCAAAGGCCCCTCCCCTGAAACCTTGAACACCCTGAAAGCTCTAAAGACCAAAGTACTATAAAGACCAAAGTTCTATAAAGCCCCCAAAAAAACCTAAACCCTAAAACCCTAAAACCCTAAACTCTAAACCCTAAAACCCTAAACCCTAAAACCCCAAAACCCTAAAACCCTAAACTTCAGGCCCCCAAAAAGTCCCCCCAAGGCCCGGCAAAACCCACCCCCCCCCTGCGGTTCGAGGGCCTCGGTCTCCCGTGCTGGAAGCGGTGGTGCCGCGAGGGCTGTCGCAGGGCCTGGGCCCAGGTTGGAAACTTGGGGTTTAGGGTTGTATAGGGTTTTAGGGTTTAGGGTTCAGGGTTTTAGGGTTTAGGAAGTAGGGCTTTGGGTTTAGGGTTTATTGTTTACGCTTTAGGAAGTAGGGCTTTGGAGGAAGGGGGGGGGTATTTTGTCGTATACTTTGGAGACTTACTACAGGGGCCTATTTTGTTGTCGCGTAGCTATAGCGACTGAGGGGAAATACAGTCTGATTATGGAGACTAACTATAGGGGGATATTGTTACTCACTCTTCAGATCCCTCGGTATAATTCGACATCGCGCCATGCCTTCCCATACATATAGTATGACTTTCGTCGTTGCTTCAGCGCAAAGCAACACGAGGGTGCATTTCGCTTCACAGAGCTACGTTCAGCGGTAAAACGTCCACACTAGACCGGCCAGACCTTTGAATGTGAATTGCAAACTATATCACCTTGATATCCAACCTTCTTCAAGCCTCATGCGGCAGCTTCAAAAGAGCTGAACGTCACAATCACAAGCCTTCAATCAAGCACCGATCTACCCAAAATCAAAACCCCGGGAAAGTCGAATCAGTGAGGCGGTTTTTCTCCGGGCAGCCGACGTCGTGCCGGCAGTAGTAGCTTTCTCCGTGATGTCGCGCTGGTTTTTCTCCTTTGGCACAAGGTCTCACGGCTGACCGTTGAACTGCAGGACTGCGTAGTTCGCTTTGACTTTCGAGTTCCTGTGACCGAAAGTAAAGCCGGTAATACTTGTAAGAACAAACATAATCGTAATAATGCTAATCATGAAAATTATATCAGTACAGTGTGCCGAAAACTTAGAACAATTATTTAATTTTTTGAGCAAGATTGCCAAGCAGTCTTGCAATCTTGGTCTCCGAAAGGTAAACTAGTCGGCGAGCAAGTGGGACAAGGGGGGGGGGGGGGAGTAAGATTACCAGCAATCTTGCAATCTTGGTCTCCAAAAGGTAAATTAGCCGGCGAGCCGGTGGGGCAAGTGGGGCAAGATGATCAAGATTGCTTGGCAATCCTGCTCCGCCCCTGACCAAGATTGCTAGGACTACCTGGATGATTCCATCAAATAATTGTTCTAAATTCCGATACAATGTAACAGTAGCAGCAATGAAAAGCAAAAAGGCAATCACACGAATAGTAATAAAAAACATAATGATAATCAGAATCATTACTATGATTATAGCAGAACAATAGTCTGAAATGCAAATTGGCATGTTCCCTGCCTCTGACAACGTCTTTGCACAAGACCTTGGAGGCAAGCATTGCACGATCGTTACTCTCCTGACCATGCTTCTCATGCTTTGAGAGTTTGCTGGCTGTGGCCAGAAAGCTACTGATACCATGTCCCGCTACGTGTTGGCAAGGTTTCCCAGAGTGGCTTTTGCACAGACCACGAACAAGTTTTTGAAACAATGCTGCTTGCAGCAACGACTCTAGTCTCACTAGTAGTACAAATAGTAGGGTGCGCCAATGCGTCTCTGATGTATCGGCGGAATGTTTACTGTCATGACTACAACACGGGCTTTGTATTGCAAGTCCGCCACAAGTAACCATGTTGTGTACCGTCGTTCCGCTTTCTAACGGTGATTCCCGGGGTGGTCCCATGATGATTAGCATCCTGCCCACTTCATAAGTGATCCTACACGCGTTACTCCACCTATTAGTGTGCCAAAGGTGTTTCATGTGCACAATACATAGATATGCTTCTGGTTGCCGATATGCCAATGGATAATCGTATTGCTATGGCTCGGAACTACTATAGACTATAGGGCACTATAGAGTTTGAGGTTTTCTGGTTTTGGGCTTTGTCGTTTCGGGTTTTGGGGTTTGGGGTTTAAGGGTTCGGGTTTTGACGCTTGGGGTGTCGAATTCCTGGATCCTCACGGCTCTCCGGGCCTTGCATCTGCGTTGTGACAGGACCTATTGTTCTCATGCCGAACCAAGACGGCCTAACTCCTGAAACTGCAGAAACCTAGGCCTCAAGCCCGAAACCTGAACCCCCAAACCTTGAAATCCTGAAAGCCTGAAACCCAAAACGGCCAACCCTAAACCCCTAACCCTCAACCCCAAACCCTAAACCCTCAACTCTAAACCCTCAACCCTAAACCCTAAATCCGTGAAGGCCAGGGCACTCAACGAAGCCGGGCTCCGGCACGAGGCTCTTCAGCGTGGGCTTCAAGTCGGACGCCTGGGTCGGGAGCTTAGGTCTTTGGGATCTGAGGGTTTAGGGCTTAGGGAGGATTTAGGGGGGGTTTAGCGTTAAGGGAAGGTGTATGGAGGGTTTAGGGTTTAGGGAGGGTCTAGGGAGGGCTTCGGGAGATTTCGGGAGGGTGTAGGGTTTAGGGAGGGTTTAGGATGGCTCAAGGGCTGTTCGAGCAGCTGCCTGAAGGGGCTTTGACTAAGGGCTTAGGGCTTAGGGTCCGTGGACGCTGCAAGTTCAGGGTTCGGGGTTGAAGTCAAAATTCGAGATGCTTGGGGTGGAGGGTCGCGGACGAAGGTCTAGAAGTCCTGCGTTCTGCAGCGCGGTCTGCCCATCCCGCAACCCTTGAGGGTTCAGCGTTCGGGGTTTGGGGTTTAGGGTTTTGGGGTTTTGGGTCCAGCGTTCGGGTTTGGGGCTTAGGGTTTGGGGTTTAGGCTTCAGCGTTCGGGTTTGGGGTTTAGGGTTTGGGGCGTATGGTTCAGCGTTCGGGTTTGGGGTTTAGGGTTTGGGGTTTTGGGTTCAGCGTTCGGGGATAGGGGCTTAGGGTTTTTGATTTTGGGTTCAGCGTTCGGGGTTAGGGGTTTAGGGTTTGGGGTTTAGGGTTCAGCGTTCGGGGTTAGGGGTTTAGGGTTTGGGGTGTTTAGTTTAGGGTTGCACCTTGTGACGGTTGAAGATTAGGATTGCTTTGACCCTCCCTCAGCGAACAACCCCAACCTCAGAGCACAAGCCCCAAGCCCCAAATCCTAAGCCCCGAGCCCTAAAGCACATTATATTATATTATATTATATTATATTATATTATATTATATTATATTATATTATATTATATTATAAGCATGCTATTTACTATACTGATACTCTATTATGCTTCATTATACTGTAATACGCTATACTATACTATAGACACAATATGCCACAATAACAAGCCCGAGCATTATGAACCCCTAAAACCCTAAACCCTAAACCCCAAAACCCAAAACCCAAAACCCTAAACCCAAGCCAAACCCCAACAACCTAAAGTCCCCCAAGCCTTGGCTTGCGCCAGACTTGTACCGTCGAGTCGCCTCTCCTGAAGTCGGTTTAGGGGTTTAGGGCTTAGGGTATATTAGGGGGTTAGGGGTTTATTAGGGGTTTAGGGTTTAGGGTTTATTAGGGGTTTAGGGGTTTGGGGTTTAGGGTTTAGGGGTTTAGGGGTTCAAGGTTTATTAGGGGTTTAGGGTTTAGGGCCGTTTAGGGTTTATTAGGGGTTTAGGGTTTAGGGGTTTAGGGGTTCAGGGGTTTATGCAAGGCGTCTGCGGACCGAGGACGCCAAGATGCTTATAACAGTGCGACATGCAATGTTAACTAGAAGGGGTTTAGGCGTGTAGGGTTCAGAAATTTTGGGTTTAAGCTTTAGGGTTTCGTACAGCTCATGGGAGTGGCTACAGCTCAGGGATCGGGTTTCGGGAGGCAGGGTCTGGGGCTGGCGTTTAAAGGTGTTGAGGGTTGCGCGTGTTTAAGGCGTAGATTTCAGGTTTAGGGCTTCGGAATTAGGATCCGGAGCTTCCGGTTCATGCTTCGTTGTGTGATTTCGCACCTTCGTGGGTTCTTAACCATCGCAATACTCCTGCTGCCCCTTGACAGGTGGCCCGGTGCAATGCTCAAACTCCAAGCTCTTGCGCTGGCATGTCCTGTGTCGTCTCGAGCAAGTACACGGCCTGCGTAGCATGCGGCATAGGCTCGTTGGCAAGCTGTGTGCTCATTCGGGGGCCCAAGCTGCATGCGGGCATCGGTTCAATATCCAAGCCATACAGGAAACCAGAAAAAGAACACAACATGGCAATCCAGCCTTGTCCACGATGGCTGCATCGCCACGCAGGGTCAATCCGCCGAAGAGGTACCTGGCAAGGCAGAAGCTGCGCTGAAATTCCACAAACCAAACCCTAAACTAAACTAGTGCCGCAGGCTCTTTCTTTCCTGCTTCCTTCGCGAATCGAAGGACGGGCGCACACGCGGTCACCCACAGCCGCCACTGTTTGGCCCACACGGGGGCACGGCCTCGGGAAAGCCACTGTCATTGGAGCTGCTTACACTTGCTGGCTACTCTTTTGTTGCAGTTCTGGCTTGTACTGTGTACTTAAAACCCTAAATGCCCCTAAACCCTAAACCCAAACTGAGGCTCCCGGCGGGATCCCCTGGAGGGATGGTCGGCTCCATACCCAGGCCTGTCATTCATGCTATTGCATGACATTGTGGATATATGCCTATATACATGTATACATCTCTATATACATACACATATTCGTACGCGCGCGCATGTGTGTGTGTGTATGTATGCATGCATGCATGTATGTATGTGTGTGCACATATAAATAAATAAATAAATAAATGTATATATATATATACATATACATATATGTATGTATGTATGTATGTATGTATGTATGTATGTATGTGTGTATGTATGTAAATATATATATATATATACATATATATATATACACATATGTATGTGTATATATATATATTATTTGTATACACATCATAAAAGATGATAAGTCATGCAGCACAACGCATAACATCTTATGGCAGGACACAGGTCTTTGAGGGCGCGGACCCTGTTGGCATAACCAGAAGTGTAACCCGACAAGAATGCAAGAACTGCGTAGCAGAGCCACGTCCCACTCGAGCCACCAACTCAAACCCGACAACGACAGCTGTGTCAAGATGCCCTGCTAAACCAACAGCTACAGCGAATCCTGCTACAGCTACTCAGAATCGCAACACCGCAAACCTCGAGGTCCAAGAGGAAGACTTCCAGCACGTCCTCCCGACAAGGTCGAGGCACTTCGGGGTGCATCTTTCGAGTAACAACTCCATTTTCTGGCTGTTGCTGAGAAGGAGGAAGGGTCTGAAGGATCTTGAGAGCTTCACGAGCTGTCGGTTCCTACCTACCTGCCTAGCTGCCTTCCTCACCTCCCTACTAACCACCGACCTACCTCCTACCTACCTACCTACCTACCTCCCTACCTACCCCCCTACCTACCTACCTGCGCCTGCCTGCCTGCCTGCCTGCCTGCCTGCCTCCCTGCCTACCTATACCTACCTGCCTCCTGCCTCACCTCATCTTACTACCAACCTACCTAAGGCAGGCTGGCGGGCAGGCAGGAAGGAAGCAGCAGGTAGGTAGTAGCAGTAAGTAGCACTAGCACTACCAGTAGCAGTTCAAGTAGTAGTAGTCGTCGTCGTCGTCGTCGTAGTCGTAGTCGTAGTCGTAGCAGTAGCATTAGAAGTAGTAGTAGTAGTGGTGGTAGTAGTAGTAGTAGCAGCAGCAGCAGGAGCAGCAGCAGCAGCAGTAGCAGTAGCAGTAGCAGCCGCAGTAGCACTGGCACTCGTCGTCGCAGAAGCAGTAAGAGCAGGAGTAGGAGAAGTAGGAGAAGTAGTAGTAGTAGTAGTAGTAGCAGCAGCAGCAGCAGCGGCGGCGGCAGCAGCAGCAGCAGCGGCAGCATCAGCACCAGTGGTAGGCAGTGGCAGTGGCAGGGGCTGTGGCGGTCGCGGTCGTAGTCGCAGTAGTAGCGGCAGCAGTAGAAGTAGCAATACCAGTAGCAGTACCAGTACGAGTAGGAGGAGGAGGAGCAGTAGGAGTAAGTACGACCCGTAGGTATGACTGCGACGACTACGACTACGACTACTGCTACGAAGACTACGGTTACGGCCACGTCTTCGACTGCCGCCAGACTACGACTACTGCTAAACCTACGGCTCTGACTACGACGACAAGGAGTGTCAGTGCTGATTTGATATCGTCGTCGCACTGTTGGTCTTCTTATCATGCCCGGTCCTTGGCAGGCTCCCAGCGACCACGGCTGCCCGAAAGAAAGAGCAGCGTCTGATCGTCAATCAAGCAGGTCGAAGGGTAGAATGCCTGACGGTTTAGTTAGAGTTTAGATCTTCAAGCTTAGGGTTTAGAGCTTAGGGTCTCGAGCCGAGGGTTTAAGCAGATTTCGGGTCTTATGGCATGCAAACGCACTGTGTACTGTTTAAGCTCCAAAGCTGAGCGATTGCTGTTCAAGCAGCAAAACCCTCCAGGGGTGTATACCTAAAGTCTTGTTTTCTTCCGACCTTCTGTTGTATGATTTAACCAAATTTGAAGTACTGTTGTTCTGGACCACTGGCGGACTGGGTAGGAGATTCTCGAGATATCAGGCCTGAGGTTAATAACCCTCAACCCTAAACCCTAATGTAATGGTTTCGGTTTTTTCGGATGGAAGACTTTTAGGGTTGGCACCTAGAAGACGCTCACCGGATGGGCTCATAAAGCCCCAACTTGCAAAAGACTCAAAAAGCCCGGCAGCACTTCTCCACAGAGATATGAACCCCAAAAGCCTCAAAAACCTCAACTATAAAACCGAACAGAACGCTGCGAAAAGTTGCAAATTCCGCATAAAGCCCAGTAAGCCCCACCTTGACAGCCAGCCACTGGACACAACTGCATCAAACTGCATAGCGAAATCCCGGGGACGAATAAGAACCGCTGGACACCTAAACCCTATAAACCCGAGGCCCTACACATCCCTAAACCCCTCAACCTCTAAACCCGAAACCCTAAACCCTAAACCCCTAAACCCCCTAAACCATAAGCCCTAAAAACCCTAAACCCTGTAAACCCTAAACCCAACCC